AGACAAATAAAAGGAGGGACTAAAATGAACAAAAAAAAGTAGGGACGCAAATTATGCGTCCAGACGCAAATATGCGTCCAAGGAGATGAGAGAGAGGAGAAAAACGCAAATTGTAGATGCGTTTGGAGTTCGGTTGGAGCAATCTTGACTGCAAAAAATGGGTTTTGGTGTTCGATTGGAGAAGGTCTTAGCTAAATCCGGACCGATCCAATTATTTTTCTATAATATTTGGTATGAGTTGCAAATTAAAATTTAATTAACCCCAAAGGACACCGATTCCTCGAGACTTCTCTTTTTAGCAAATGGTGGTCCTAAATTCATTCACATGTACATTTTTGTTTTGCGTTAAAATAATTTTTATTTTCTAGACCTGTGGTGGTCCTAAAAGTCGCATCTAAATATCTAATACATATATCATTTATTACATGAATTTTTATTTATTATTTATTATTTTTTATTTTTTTATTAGTGGTCCTAATTGCACTAACTGGAGCATCCTAGAGGCCCGCTGACCATGTGACTTCAACTGGCCAAATATTAGTAAACCAAAATCCAGAGAAGCACCCAGGCCCACATAATTTCATGTGATGGCTTACTGGGCAACAGCGCCAAGTAAAATTAAATTAAATAAGAGTAATTACTAATTACCACTTTAATTAGTTCATTGTAGCAAAATATTCACATACAAAGCTGATTATAAGTTGGTGAAAAGAAAAACCATAATTTATTTTGAATAAACATTAATATCAATCATTTGCTCGTCATGAATGCTTTATCAGTACATATATTAGAGCTCCAAAAATGATAGTTCGAACTGACTAATAAAAATTGGCACAAGGAGCAATCACCATTTTTTGACTCTTTGATCATCATCTCGAACCGACTAATATGCATATTTGTGAGGAAAGTATGTCGGCCTAATGGTTAGGTCAAGCTAACAAAAAACATACTGCAAGATTATATAGGTAAAGTTGAACAGAGTTCTCCTTACATATCCTGTTTTCCTTCCATTACTGCACATTTTTTTTCAACCTCAGAACTTCACTCCTTTTGAACCCACAAAAGAACCAATAATGCCTCAAGAGAGTTGTGACAGGAAAATAAATAAATAAATAAATAAAAGACGGGTTACTATAACAAGAAACGGGATGTCAGGTTACTATTCGCTGTTCTTAGTGCCATAAGCGATGAAATTTACACTGATATCATCAGAAAGGGACCATCTCCCAGTCAAGGGGTCATAAACAAACCCGGCCATCTCTTTGACCTGGATAAAAAAGGAAGGGAAAACAACAATTTTCATATTAAAAGGGAAAAAAAGTGTCTGCAGTAAAAGATAACAAGCGTTTTAGTGACTCACTGAAATAGAGGCGCGCTCGAGAATAAGGACCAGTTCTTCTGGCGTCAGGAAGCTCGACCATTGATGTGTGCCTCTTGGAAGCTGAAAAGTTTGACATGCCAAAACAATGAGAAGATTAAGGATCTTATGGGAAATATTCTGAGAAACCTCTTCGGTTAAAACTAGGATGTGTTTTTTTTACTAAATTTCCTTAACACACGACATATGATCTAGTCATAAGATGTTCTTCTGTTCTTTTAGACTAAAGTCGAGGGTATTTGTCGAAACTATGTATAAAAAGAACAAAAGAAAAAAAAAAGGAAAAAAAAACACTAGAATCTCAAGTAAGATGCATAAGTCATCATCGTAACTAAAGGAATCAAGAGGAAGACGAGAAAAAAGAATCAAGTGACTTGATGAACCTGCTGCACAAATAAGATAAAAACACAAATGAATAAATAAATAAATAAATGAAAGAGATGAAAAGAAGATGAAAATGTAAAGCTCTGTACTCACTGAAATCACGGAAAATAAATTACTTCAAACCAAACCCTGACATAAGAAGAATATATAAAGTGTTGATACAATTTCTTGTATTCTCCTATATATGGCCAAAGTTCAAGATGACATTTTTCGGCATTTTTTACACTGAGTGGAATCATGCATCAAATAAAAAAGANNNAAAAAAAAAAAAAAAAAAAAAAAAGATAATGGGAGGTCGGTAAGTTGAATATGCTTTCTCTAAATAGGGGAGTACTTACTAAACAACAATAGCATCATCAATGGCTATAAAGGACAAGTTTTGGACATAAAAGTAACACATCCTTACTAGCTAAAACAGGACAGAATAAAATACCCAGTGTAGCACATATTCAGCCATGAGGATGGCAGTTGCATATGCTCTCATGGATCGATTAATTGTAGAGATAACCGTAGCTCCACCGAAACTGGTCAATGCTGACAAGGATTTGCAGAAATCAGAAGGATCTGCCACGTGCTCGATTACCTGGATAGCATGGCGAGTAGTAGATGCAAATCAATAATTGTTACTTCTTCCCTTTCTCTCATTTTTTTTTTCCCTTCTTTGGAAGAGTGTGTGCGCACTGTAAATGCATGAATAGTGAAATGTGTACGCAGAGGCAGAGAAATGCTATAGTCCTACAGAGTGCATCCAATCAATCGAAAAATGAAAACGTAATAAGATCTATGCTTACTGAAGATTCACAAAACAGCAGGTATAACACAAGTTGACTAATGATTGATAACTCTCAGATCATATTAATAAAATTCCATTGAAATAAAATTATATCTTACCTCCAGTGCAAGTACAGCATCAAATTTCCTCTGCTCTTCCACCAATTTTTCTGCCAAAGTAGCAAGCAATTTCATCAGCTTCTACAGAATATTGTTTAGAAGTTCAAAAGATGCACATTTTTCAGACAAGTAATTATTTGATCTAGCAAAAGTTAAATGACAGTAACTGTGCCAATACCACATAAAAAGGCATCAGCAAATTAAAGGTCATAACAAAAGCTAACAGGTTACTAAGACACCTTCAAATAACCCAACACAAAAACTGTTGGGTTTTATAATTTTCACCTTACCTAGGTGCCCTTTTGATCACTAATGAGTATAGATGATTTTTTTTTATCAAACTGTTGGAATTTTAGCACACAGATGGAGTAATACACATTATGCCCCACTGTACTGTCATCATGCCCGCTCATTTTGATTAATACCCTCAGTCCCAATAAACAAATATATAGATCAGGTGAAAATTAGAGAAGTAGAGAGAAAAGAAATGGAGATCCAAAAGAACCATGGAGAAAACATTCCACTATAAGTACTTGGCTAAATTGGTGGAACATTTGAAGCTTTAGAATAGCACGGGGTAAATGAAGAGCGTCAAAACATGAAGATGCTAGAGACAATAAGCACTCAACTCTTATGTTACAAAGTTACAAAAAAATGCGAAAGCAGTTTGAAGAAAAAAGGAAATGATAAATCATTTTATTTCTTACATTCACTAAGTAAATAAGATGTTTACCAGCTGTTGTGCAATGGTATTCAATTGATGAAGTCATAGGATCCAAATGCTGCAAAAGATTAAATTTCACCAACATAAATAACACAAGGAAATATTTTTTGTTACATAAATTGATGTGTTTTAATTATAAGGCAGTTATATAGATCTCATGCCCGGACTGAAGCAGAGAACAGTATAATTGTGCATGACTTAATACTTATACCAGTGCTGGTGAGAGTTATTCAAGTAAAGCCCACCACATTAGTATTCACTTTTTACCAAAAATTAAGTTATTACATACATAACCATGCCAATACACAGAAGCCCAATAATTAAGAACACAATATTAGTTAATCTTCACACTCAATTACAGATCAAAAATACAATTTCTTTAAAATATAGCCAGGCCACATTTGTGCAACCCATTTCATTTGATAACCTTACAATCAGCAGCTAATAACCCACACTGACCGAACTTATTATGTAAATGAGCATGAATGCATACATCAAGTTGTTTTCACTTCCATAAAAGAACATACCGCATGAAGTTGTGCAATCTTGATGTTCTTTTCAACAGCATCAATTGCTGTAACAGTGGCACCCATACGAGCCAAAGGCTGAAATATGTTTAAAAATAAACATTGAAGGCTAGAAAAGAATCATTTATGCAACAAGAATATAAGATTATCCTAATTTACATCCAAATATAATTTGTCTACTAAGAGATGTCCATAGATGCTTATACACGAACATTTATCTCATAGATAATGTCTTCGAATTATCAATAAAGTGAACCATGCCAAGTTTGAATATATATATAGAAAAAGATAAAGACTCATACCTCAGATAAAATCCCCCCTCCACAGCCAACATCTATGAATTTCAATCCATCAAATGGCCTTGCGCAGTTTGGATCCTTTCTGAAACATGTTGCATTCATCAGCTCTTATAAGACAACCAAGAAAAGATCAGTATTGTCCTTGGACAATTGCCTTCACTTACCTTTGTGTTAAAAGATAAAGCCAAAATCAATTCAGAAAATAACCCAAGACTACTCCATATCTACGACCTAGCCGATGAGCATCACAAGGCTTCACATAAAGATGATCCGTTACATCACATCAGATTCTGGTTAAGAGAGTCCACTGGATAGCCAAGTGGAAAAAAAAAACACATGCAAAAAAACTTCGATTTACTGATTAGCTAAGTTTTGAATGTATATTTTCTTAATATACATTCTCAATATCAGAGTCTTACTTTCAATGATATACTATTTACGATGCGTGTATTTTCTTATGAATGTTTTCTTACGGCTTAATCCATAATTTTCCTGTTTAATAGTTGAGGGTCTCCTTGCCCACCAAAAAGATTCATAGTTACAATGCTCACTTCAAGCCAATTTCTACTTTTTTTCACTACTTAATGACAAAATAGAGATTGTAAGTTTCATTTCTTTATTGACATCCTTCGCCAATTACGAAACACTAGTACGATAACCGTGTACTACACGGGTGTTTTATAAAATATTAAATGTACAACAAAAATAGGAAAAAAATGTTTATATCCAAATAAAGGTCATTTGCTGCTGTATAATTTATTGCTAGATAAAATAGTGTAAGATATCATGAACCAAGATGAACTAGTGAGCCTTAATATGTCGAGTACAGGACAAATATACTAGATTGAATGTAGATAGAGTAAAAGATGTGGACTAAATTTCAAGACCAAAAGTTAAATTACCCAAAATGCCGGCACAATGTGGATCTAATAAAAGCAAGCCTCGTCGGGTTCATCACATGCAACGGCTTAAACGGACCTTCAGCATCCCACCTAATACCATATCAGTAAAAATAAAATGAATTAACAAAGTATCACCAAATTAAACTTGTAGAAATATTAAAATCTAAAAAGAAACATACCATGTCCCAGAAATTGCCGCAAATTTTTGTAGCTCAGCTTCATTCAGAGAGCTCTTTGGATTTGAAGTGGAGGCTGGCGGAGGAGAGAAAGTCGGAGCAGCTGGGGGAGGTTCATTTGAATAATGCCTGGTTTGAAGCTTATGAAAAAATTCAGGAGAGGAGCGGAGATTTGTGGATCGTGCGTGATGGCGAACGGGTCGAGCTAGGGTACGAATTCCGGCTAACAGATGCTTAGGAACCATTGTGGCAAGTGAAAGACAAGCCAGCGATCATCTGAATTGAGCGGTTTTATTTATGTGGGCAGGTTTGGTTTATATATTCGCTAGCTCTATCTTCAAACGGTTCCTGTAATTGTCGATAACCTCTTCATTTTTAACCATTCAATTTAAAAATGCCATCACTGGCATCTGAACTATCTATCTCTTATAAGTTCTTACATCACATTCCCTCGAAGTAACTTCATTTGTCTCAAGTGGCTTCTAACAATGAGAATTTTTTTTCAGGTCGATAAACAAAATTAGAATGACCTCATGTTGAACAATAGAAGGAGAACACACGGGACCATGGCTCCTCTCATGAGTTGCAATAGCAAGCACAAAACAACCAAAGTAAAATGCAAGAAACTGATGGTAATAAATTAGTAAAGATTATTGCTACATCAGTAGCTATACCATATGTGGGCCATACAGGTGTCCGTAACTTCAAGATTTTAACAAGTTTTCAGTAGAGTTGACAGAAGTACGGGACGAAAAAGAGAACCTAAGGGAAATATGAAAAAAAAATGGAACTCCCAAGAAGATCATCCTATAGCTTCTCAGCTTAAGGCTAAAGTTTTTGCACATATTCACAATTGTATATAGAACAGAAACTAACTAGTAACTTTTATCCAGCAAGACATGTACTGATATACACAACCTTGAAGCAGCCAAAACAATTTCTCAATCAGCTATCAAGGATAGTTGTTGGGGTGATTATATAAGTAACCACTATAAAAACAGGAAAAAGTGCTATTTACCAGAAAAGTTCGACATAAAGTCATGTGTAGATTTTAAAATATATAGAAAGAATAGAACCCCGCCATGTATCATCCATTATGTTCATATAGGATTAATCATAAATACAGACACGCCAGCAGCAAAACCAAACTACGGGATGCAAATAGATAAACAAAAGAAAATCAAACTGTCAACATTATTTGATCTAAAGTTCAAAATTTCCTCAATGCACCAGAGTGTTTTCTGTAGCAAAAATTTGCCCCACATAGAGCAAAGCATTATCTTCATTTACCTTCCTTGATACTTAAGAGTCTTGGAAAATGCCTCTCCTAGCATTATTCGATTGAAAATTAAAATAGATTTCATTTGGAGACCAAGTCCCTATAACCCTTTCTTCCAAGGAAAAGAAGGCAATAACTGACTCTGAACAACCATTTCCCTACTATAAAAGGTCCTAAAGTGAGACATATTAAACTTTCATATAAAATGAATCATTTTGTAACTAGTTTTCGAAGTTTCAAGAACGAAAAATCGACAATAATCACCAATATACCATACTGTAACAATTCTTTAGCGTAAAAGTTAGAATTATAACTCTACCATAACCGAAAAGTATGAATTCCGGTTTATATTTCTAGAACATATATATCTACGCAACTGGTTTTTGGTCTGCCAATCCTTCAAACTCCATGACAGCTAATTGCGAATATAAGCTAAACAGTGATTGTTTTGGTGAACGAGAATTATCCACTAACGCGAACGTTAAAACCTAAAGCACTTTTTCACGGCGAATCATTTAAGAAAAATTAAAAAGCAATTATCAGTAAGCATATAATTGTAGAGGAAAATCGGCTTGCCTTGGCTACTGGAATTGAACAAGCTTTGCAAAGCAAGGTTCCGAAGATGACCGTAGAGCGATCGATGGAGAGGATTTTCCGATTGCGCGAAGAGGCGTCGCCGGCAACACTAAAAATGCACGCCGCGAGTGGGAAGAGAATAGGGAGAGGAGAAGAGACCGATGGGTGTTTTATCTTTTACCTACACGCAGCTCTATGTATAAGACTATAAGAGCAGCTCCGCGGCGCTAGAGAGTAGAGTATTATATTGCTCTCCAACTATGCACTACTATTCATTATTTCTGTTATGAAATACGGGGAATATAAAGAACACAATGTATAAATCGGATATAAACTGTAACAGACTTTCTTTCTTTCTTTCACTTCACTTTCGTGTAAATTTTACAAAGTTGAAGATGCCTTTTTATAGGCAAAAGTTAGATCCTATTGGCACACATTTCAAGGTAATTTCATATATTTATAATACCCCTTGAAATTACCACTATAAAATGTGCGTTTATGCTGTCTCGTTAAAAACCTTATCTGAAAAAACCCTGTGAGAAAAAAACCGAGATAAGGAAAAAAGAGTACAGCCGCACATACTCCCCCTTCATTCATTGTTTCAACATGGTATCCCTTCATTCGGATATCTTTAAAACTCAACAAGTTTCTTGTTGATTTCGGGGAGAATAATGCATCATTCAGTGTAAACTTTGTACCTCCCATCATAAAAAATATGGCTTTTCCAGAACCCTCAATTATCTTTGCATTTCCAGATATTGTGTTTACTTTTGCTTTATTTAACTTCAAGTTGACAAAATATTTTCTGTCCTTGAGTATAGTATGAGTTGTGGCACAATCTGCAAGACATATATCTCCATTTTGAATTCGGGACCGATCCATGATCTAAAAGAAAACAACATTATTATTGATCAAATTTGAAATACAGATACAACTGGTACAAATACGCAAATACAACAAAAAAACTTAGAAAGCAATAAAAGAAACAGGATAATCAGTTGTTCTCTTGGTCATTTTCAGCTCTTTCTTCAAATACCGCATCAGCAAAATCCAGGTTCAACATGTCATCGATGCCATAGTCATCATCTACACGTGTTGTATTATTTTCAGAGGATTCCCCAACTATAAAATTAGTTTCTACATTTTTATCTTTTGATTTCTGGGAATCATTATATTTATCAACAACGTGTTTCGGAGCACGACAGTTTCGTGCCCAATGCCCCGTCTTTCCACATCGATAACATGCATTTTCATTATTATTTTCCGTCACATTATTTTGTTCAAATTTTGGCTGAAAATTTCTCCCCCTTTCAAAATTTTGAGCATAGTTACGGCCTCGCCCACGATTATATCCCCGGCCCGAGTTGTACCCTCTGTGAAATTTGAAGCCTTGGTCAAATCGACGATCTGGGCCATATCCACGGCCACGGCCACGTCCACGTCCACGACCCCGGCCACGTCCCGAGGTATTTCCACGCACATATGTCTAGCTATTTTCAGTTCCGGTTCCCTGTTTAGATATTACAGTATTTATTTCAGGGACCGCAGTAGACCCCGTAGGTCTAGATTCATGATTTTTCATCAACAACTCGTTATTTTGTTCAGCCAACAGCAAACAAGAAATCAACTCAGAATATTTTACAAAGCCTTTTGCTTTGTATTGTTGCTGCAATAGTACATTTGAAGCGTGGAACGTGGACAATGTTTTTTCCAGCATATCGTAATCAGTTATGTTTTCTCCGCATAATTTTAACACCGAACAAATGCGGAACATGGCCGAATTGTACTCGTTAACAGTTTTGAAATCTTGGAAGCGTAAATGCATCAATTCGTAACGAGCCCGGGGGAGAATCACCGTTTTCTGGTGATCATACCTTTCTTTCAAGGCTTTCCATAGATCTGCAGGATCTTTTACAGTTAAATATTCATTTTTCAAAGCCTCATTCAAATGATGCCTCAGAAAGATCATTGCTTTAGTTTTTTCCTGTATTGATGAATCATTTGGGGATATTATTGTTTTTTCCAATCCCCTTGCCGCCAAATGGATTTCGGCATCCAATGTCCATGAGATATAATTTTTCCCAGAGAT